CAACATATACTCATACGTTTGTTGTGACGCTCAATTGCTGCCGGCTTGTGTAGGGGAGCTTTGTTTGGGCGTGTAACCCCTTACGCTGTGCGCCATAACGCTTACGCTTTATGCGCATTTGCTTAGTGGGTCAACAGGATTATCTTATCTGTGACGCGCTGTTGAGTGCGGCTAAATGCCCACATTGCCAGCGCGTCGTTGGCCGACAGCGGCATATGAATAACATGCAAAGGGGTGAGCGGAAGAGGAGTTAGCAAACTTAAGCGTTAAATAAACGTGCAAATGTACTAGGTATGTATGTATGTAAAAAAAATTTCGTCGGCATATTTACAAATCATATGAAGATGTGTGTGTTCGCTTGTATTTATGAGCGTTTTATTGTTTATGCCCGCAAAATGCCGCAGATGTGAGTTAAATAAGTAAGTACAGGCACTTACTCATTACAGTAATTCACAGAACTAGCTGTGCTTCTTAATATTCTAACAGTTTTATGATTTTTTTTGAACCGAAAAATGTTTTAATAAAAATGTTTGCAATAACGAAGTTTACAGTACCCAAAAATAAACGTCGGAGCCCTTAAACCTATAATATATAATATATAAATAACCAACGTGGCGAGCTGAGTCGATTTAGTCATGTTCTTATGTCTGTATGTGTGTCTACATATACGCGAACACGGTCTTAGCTTATGACATTGCAATCTGAAAATTTTCACACCTCCTTTATTACCCAAGAAACTACTTATTTGTCGGAACGGCCGATATCGAACCACTATATCAAATAGCTGCATTACAAACTGAACGATCAAACTTAAGTCCTTGCATGGAAATCTTACTTATTTAACATCACATTTTTATCCGAAACAGCGCTATAATATCCAAAATAATAGTTCTAATTGGACCACTATAGCATATAGTTACAATACAAACACAACGACCAAAATCAAGTTCTTGTATGGAAAACTGTTATGTTTGACAAGTAATCTTTTCGAAATTTGTCATAAATTATTTTCCAAGACAACGCTACAATCTCCGAACATACTGCTGCCATAGAAACTGACCGATCGAAATCAAGATACAAGAGCTTTTTATACACATTTATGCAATAAGAAATGCAGCTGTGAAGAGTTTTAAGCTTCAGTGTCACCGAGGTTAGCGGTGTTTCTGGTTTTATATATGGCTGCTTCACAATTTTCTCTTCATAGAATTTTCGTACAACTATAAACTGAATTTTATTGTGAATCTGACATAAACGATTTTTGGTTTTCTTGAGTTGAATCAATTTTCAAAAAAATTATTTACAATTTCCCAAAATTTACCAAATTGTTTACTTACATTTTTAGGCAAATTGATATTAAGAATACGAGAGCAGCTGGACTGGGCGTTTTTTCTATCATTTGTAAAAACTACTTCATATATAAAAAGTTGTAAGTCGATTTGAAGGACGTAATGCATTTTTTGAAAATTTTCTTCATTACCAATATTACACCCAGAAGCTTAACATTAGCTTTGAAGTTTATCTTTTAAATTTTTTCTGCGAAATTTTTTTTTTTATATTATATAAAATTTTACAATACGAACCTACATACGTCACACCAACCGATAGTCTCGCACTCAAATTGCTTGAGTTTAGCGGCCAACTTGTATTTATCTGCTAATTAGAATTTAATTAACACCATAAACAATTATCTGTTTTTAATACGGTTTCGGCTTGGCACATAGTGAAGCGAGGAACAAAGCGACTATAATAAATTAATGAATTACTTATTTTCACATAAGAGCTGTTACTCATTATCAATGATTATTTGTATAATTTATATGAGTAACATAATTCAGTGCACATTACTATTATAATCCACTGTAGCTATTGTTTGCTTTAATTATTCTAACATTTTTGCACTTTGGCAATGACCCGGAAGATAATTACTACTGATAGCGGTAGTATTAGCGCGTCATATATATAATACACATAAGTACATACCATATATGCACATGTATATATATTTTTTGTTGCCACATATTTTTTTTTTGCAACTCAGAACTTAAAACTCTTAATTTTAGGCCTGATTTCGTTACCTTCTATATACATACATAAGTCAGGCTTTCGTTTCTGCTCCTCTACACAACTTTTCGTCTTTGGGTGAGTACAACTGTACGGATGTGTGTATGTCTTTGAGCCAACATACGCCAATTAACAGTTAACACTAAAATCACAATGCCTATTGTCACACACACACATCGCTTGCTTCTTACTCATTGCCAATATTTATTTTGGACAACAGAGTGCTTGATAAGGATTACCGTAATCAGCGCTAATAGTCGTACAACGTTACTGAAAGATGACTGCAGCACAGAAAAGCGAACACACACACATACATATACATATATTAATGCAATTACTTTCCTTTTCACCATTATTTGGTTGTTGGTGAGGCAGAGTTGAAACAAAACGAAGAAACGTAAACGCAAAATAAAAACAACAACAACAACACATGTGTCGTTTACTTAGATTTTGCCTTTGTTGGCGTTGCGTGAGCTGTAAATTGTTTTTGTTAATTTTTTTCAGCATGTGTTTGTTTGAGTGGTGTTTATACACCTGCACGTGCTTGCGTGCACAAGTGTGTATATTTGGGTTTAGGCTTGGTAAGCCAAAGACTTTGCTTTATTTGCGATGTTGACTTTGTAATGCATAAATATATGTGTGCAGATTATTTTTTCTCACACAAAACAAAAAAGAGTTGGAGTTTGAAGATTGAAGACTGTGCACATCACTTTTGCTCAGGGCGGCAATTAATGAATATGTGTGAGTTCAGGCGATTAATAGATAAAATTAACAACAATAATTATTATAAAATTAAAAATTAAACTTATTTTAGCAATAAAAAAATTTTTTTCCGTTGATAATTTCTGAAATACTTTTCCGTCGGCAATTTTATTCTTGGAATAAGCTTAGATAAAGTATGTAAAAAATGCATAAATAGGTATTTTTCAGAATGTACATACATATGTGCATCGAATAAGTAACTATAAATTGCTAGCTCTCTCTCCTATCTCACAGACTTACTGACTTTTGGACACATATCAGCGTAGGAGACATTCGGTCTGAAGTTATCTCTGTTATCTGTACAAAAATTAGCATTGATGGAGAAGCATATAAGCAAGAATAGGAGTATATATGTATGTATGTCTTAATTTTGGTACTTCACTTCTTAAAGTTATGGCAAGAACGCTTTTTACGCAATTATATTTAAATTGTTAATTGTTTACTCCACAGATAAGCATTATACAAAACTGAGTACTTATATAGGTATGTATATTTATTTACATATATCTGCATATACAAGTGCACAGCACACCTGTTTGCATATAAGTTGGAATAATTGGAATTGTAAATAACTACAATTAATTGCATTAAGCAAAATTAATTGAAATTTTAATATAATATGACATAAATATTATCAGCTGTCGCAAAATAAATGCTAAAGTCGTAATAGTCACCTAAGGATAAGTCAAACAAGCAGAATATTACGAATATATCGTATGTTTGGCGAGATTCTCAAAGATCTTCCAAGTTTGTTAAAAAAAATGGGTTTTTGGGGTCTGAAATTGTAGTTCCGTTTAGGTGTATTTAAACATTTTACATGCCAGACAAAATGAATACACGGAAATGGTGCAATAAAAGTTACGCTGTGACCCTCCTTCCGGTGTTGACCTAAGCGATCCCTCTCTGCTGCAAAAACTTAATTAGGAAACAAATATTACATGATAACACATATCAAAAATGTTTGCGAGGCCCAAATGTTTCTAAATCAAATTGATTTCTAATCTAAATTCTACTAAAATTTCTGGTCAAGTTTGAAATATATATATACTACAAGTAGGGCTCTGAAAATTATTGGTATAACCCGAAAACCGATTATTCGTCGAATAACCGTTGTGTAACCGTTCATATGAATATTAACCGAATAACTATGCGAATAGTTACTTTGCTACGGGTATTGAAAAAATGAAAGTTGTTTAGTTTTTTTTGTTTGAATGAAGGCTTATGGTACTATTCGAATAGTCGACAACGAACGGTTTGCCGAATAGTCGAAAATGGGCAGTTAATCGAATAGTCGATAACTTAAAACTATCCAGATGGTGCACACCGAATATTATTATTTTAATAATGCCCTATCCGAATAATTCGGTTAGTCGATTAGTCGAATACCAAGAGCTCTAATATGTAGACAATTTTCCTAAGAAAAAAGTATGTTTTAAAAAAAAAATTAAGCAAATTAAGTCTTACAAATAAGATTTTAATGATTTATCTTTATAATCCTACTATGAATTTATTATTATTTTATCTTCAATATGGCTGTTCTAAGCGTGAGAGCGGAACAATATTTATTTAAAAGCCGAGATAAATCATAAAATGGCAATCAAAAATTTAACAGATTTATTTTCAAAATTAATTAATAAATAATTTGAGTAATTCAATTATTTATAAATAAATGTTTGTAAACATTAAAATCGTAAGAATATAACGCCAAGAGAGTAGAAGTGTCGCATTCTGCATGATATTTGTTAGCAACATAGTATTTTATGGTTACATTTTCGTAAAATAGCTAACTGAGATTATTTCTTGATATCATATAATGAGCACAAAGCGCTTTGTCGACATGTAAGGGTCTTTTGATACAGCTTATTGGAGTTTTTAGTTACCACAAACTTCTAAGGATCGACCTCCTTAACCTTATCTATCATATAATGAAGTAAAATTTCGATAATTAATTCCAAATTAATTTGAGTTTAAATTTGCTTGTCAGAAATTGCGAAATTGAGCCGGAATAAAAGAAATATCGGTTAGTTGCGTGAAACTCGCTCACTTAGTTATTAAAACTCGAATATAAATAATTAGAAGTAAAGGTTTACTTATAAAAAAATGAATTAATTTTTTATTTCATATAAAATAAATACACCAATAATGCTTACTATCTAAATTTTAGCCTCAAAACTCACCTGTGGCCCAGCATTGGCGGCCACCCAAGCCTCTGCAAATGTCTCCATTGCACTCTGGAAATCCATGCTCATCGAATTCTCACTTCAGTAGCGACGGCTTTCGAGTTTTCTAACTATAAGTTTTTTTAACGAAGCTTTATAGATTTATAAATGTTTGTTTTCCAATGACGGCACTTATCAGAAGCTTACGAGGAATCAAAAGTGTATACATAAACTACACACCTTACTTTATTTCAGCGACACTATTGTTTTACAAAATACTTCTTTAGCAACGTAGTATCGATTATATATGTGATATTTAATTTTAAATTTTCTCCATTGCCAATTAGACACACACATGCACTAGTAACAACACACGGTTATTGAAAATGAGTGTAATCACTGAAAAGTCATTGGCGCTTGACCATTGGCGAGTGATCGTGCTGAAGCATTAGACCGCTAGTTAGACCTATACGCCGATATTACTTAATTTCTTTACTACTTCTATTATAACTATTGAAAATATGGTTGCGCGCTTGATTGATTGTTGGCAGCGGCGTTGACGCGGCATCATTAACAGTTCATTGCTCAAGCTGTTAGCAGTGGCATATGCGGAGGCAGACAGGATCTCCACACTGTGCTTGTATTTCATATGGGTGGAGCGGTGTGCACTTGCAGTGAATTTGGCGTATTTATGTTGTTAATATTTGCTTAGATTTGCCTAGCGATGGCAGCAACTTCTTGCAAGTCCGTGGCAGAAGCGTAACTAACGCGCCTAACGAGTCAAAAGCAGTGATGCATTTAAAACTGGTACGCTGCTGTTGATAAGGTTAGATTTGTTGATTGCTGGACACCTAATGGCGTGCTTTCTTATTGGTTTTACTGAGCGTTGGTTTGTGAACGCGTATGAATTTTCCGCGGAATAGGCTTTGAGGTAGCTTGTAATAGCCGTGAGTACACACAGATTGCTTTTTGCGATTTTCAAAGAATTTTTATTTCATTATAATTTATTATTGTTTGCACTTGCTCAGTAATGGCTTGTAGTAGGAACTAGAAAACGACTAGCATTCAGCGCAAAAGTTATTTGAATTTTTTTTGCAATTTCAAATGTGCAATATTTTATACCGTTTATAACGAGTTTTTGTATTATTTCGTTTTTATTTGTTTTCCTTATCGCTTGCTGCTTTCGACTTTATTCGCTTTGTTACGCGTTACACTAACTCGCTATTTGCTTCTATTCACTATTTTGTCCGTCCGTATATTGACACGCACGCTTCACACTTGATCGGGCGCCATTCAACGACTGACTGTCAACATGCAATGTCAATTGCCACAATGATAAGCTCAGTTGCGCCACTTCAATATCCTCACTGTCAGCACCTCCTTAAGCACAGCACCGCCAGCCCCCGTTTTAGACCGACGCTTAATTCGTATTGACGATTTATTTGCTTTGCTGCTATTATTATTGTTGTTATTGTAATTGTTGTTATTAACACTGATTTCTAATACCGCATCATATCATCCACACACTTCAAATTGTAGTATGATGTTCGTATGCCACCATTGACGACACGCCGTCTTTCCCCCACCCCTGCTACACAATCATTAATTGCATGCAATTGTGTGTGTAATAATTTTTCGTTCAATTTATTATTGATCTATTTCACATGTGTGTACTTGTATAAGCGCGCATTTAACTTGCTGTTAATGTTCGACTTGTTCTATTGTTTTGTTTATTAGATTTATCAGTGGTTATATCGTAAGAAAATCGAGCAACATAACATCCTTCTACACTGTCAGTTGCCGCACAACTGATTCTGTTTTGCGCTCTCAACAATTCACCTCAAATTTACCTTTCCGCATTTGTTTGTTTGTGTGCGTGTGTGTAATAGTATGTACGTGCGTCTCATTTGCTCTCTGAATTTTATTGCATTTGTAGTGGTTCATGATGGCGCTCTCGAAACTTTGCCTTTCTCTGTAGTGGTGTGCGCTCTACACATACCCATACACTTCGGTCTCAGAAATTCTTGATTCTCTTGCAAACTCTCCCAACCATTGTTCCACCACATTTCATATAGTGTGACCAATACTTTCTGTTAACTGGGTTTTGGTTTTCTTGCTTGCTAACTTGTATAAGCTATTTAATTTGGTTTAGTTTACCGAAGAATATTCGTAGAATAGCTCGCCATTTTATAGTGACAATTGAATGATTATTTATTCTGATATGATAGCACGAGTATACAAATACGAGTTGGAACTACATATACATACCATATATTATAACATTATAGTATAAATTGTTTTCGTAGATCTAGATTTATACTTTGGCAAAGCAATGAGTATCACATTGAGTCAAGGTGTTTACTAAATTTTTAATCCTTGGCAATGTTTTTATGAGACTTTAAAAACAATTTAGTATAGAAATATTTCAATTAGAAATTTTAATTGAGTTTATGTTTCAAAATTTCGATTTTTCGACTGAAGAGCCCAGTGCATTTCAGACTTGCACCGATCGTCTTATATATTTCTGTTAATGAAAATTGGGGAATTGGTTTGGTCGGGCCGACAATGCCTTGTTGAAAATATCTGTTTTATGAAGGATCATATATATTCTAAAGAGTCAGAGATGTCTATGGACAGTTACTTTGCTACTGAGTGTCTCAATATTCCGAAGCAAGTTGGATCAAAGAAAAAAAAAATAATAAAAAACGTTAACTTCAGTTACAACAAAACTAATTCAGATAAAAAAAATATTCTCTACAAGGCATTGATTTTAATCATTCAGTTAATATGGCAGCTATATGATATAGTGGTCCGTTCTGAACAATATGTTCGGAGATTGTAACACAGCTATACTATAGTGCTATAGTGGTCCGATATCAGTGGTTCTGACAAATGAACAGCTTATTGAAGAGCAAAGAGAAGCGTGCAAAATTTCGGATAAAAAACTGAGATACTAGTTTGCATATATAGAGAAGGCGGACATGCTAAATCTACTTGTCACACTAATCACTACATGGTTGACTTAATACACACTGTTCAGGGTATAAAAAACCATTTTCAGAGCACGAAATTAAATTTTTGTCGAAAAACTATCATGAAAAATGGAATGAATAAATGGATTAATCTCAACAATGCAATTTTTTAAGTTCACTTAATATTAAATGGTTATTATAGACAACTTGAACTTGTGGAAACGAGGTTAGATCTTTCGATATAATATGCAGTATTTGAGCATACGATATATTGCCCTTAGGGAGTTCTTTTGGCAATTTCCGGTTGTCAGTGTTATTAAAATAACGACACCCACAGATTTCAAGCACAGCACAAGACGACCAACAATCATAATTAAATATTGATTAATATATGAGGTATGTAACTAGTTACACAAAATCTGACAATCAAATGAGGTACAATACAAATAGATGTTGAAAAATTTGTGAGAATTGATCAAGAACATTTGACATACCTATTTTACCTTTATACTGATATAGTTTTCCAGACCTTTAAAGTGATCGACAGTGAGCAATTAAATACGAAAAATGCATGTAAAACTAAATAAAATATTTTTAGGATGTAAAGTAGAGATATTTATTTAACTGAAAAATATGTTTTATGATTTGTTAGACCTATTGGTTGGCGAATCTGAAGCTTTTATGTGCATTTTGTAAAATTCGAATTTCACAACGAAGTTTTTTATTATATAATATTTTCTTAAAATTTTTAATAAAATTAGTAAATAACGCAATTTTCATATAGACCCCACACATACAAGGATATAACAGCAATTGAAATGCTAATCCTTCATTCGTTATTGTGGAGAGTGTATGCGTTTTAACAGAGACCGGCTTTTTCAGTTACTCTCTCAACTGTGCGTATGTGTTTGTGAGAGATATTCAAAACAAAGCACACACATACCGTAACAGTTGTGAGCGGAAGCAAGCGCCATAAGAGCGCTTATGGGCACTCACACATCTGCGAATTCGCCAAACTGATAAGGGAGAACCAACTGGCAAAAACAATAAATTAAAGCAAAAATATTGCAAAAATATTTTAACCAAGCAATACCATTTAAAAAAATTAATTCATGTGTTGTTGTAAATGTTTTAATTTACATACATATATACACGCAAGTATGTATATATAATAATTAAAAAAATTTATATACATTTTATAGTAGGTGACCAAAGAAATCTTCTTTGGTTTGTTTTTTTTTTTTGTTAGCTCTCAACAATTTCCCACTACACCTGTTCGGTCGCTTTGCATACGCCACTCTCGCAGCTGCTTATTCGTTTGGATTTGCGCGCCCGACGAAAGAGTCCGCTATTGCGCTGCTAAACAACCGAATGGATGGATGAATGGGTGGATTTTTGGATTCCGGTTTCAACCACCCTAACCCAACCAGCGGATATGCTGATTATGCGAGTGCGAAAGAGTCAACGGCTACACAATCGCTATTTGATAACGCGTTGTAGTGTTTGCCAAAGTGGCATTGGCAATGGTGGCGGCGGCATTAGCGTTGGCGTTGAAAGTGTCGGGCGTCACTTGTTGTTGCATTTGTGTTGGCGAAATTTTTGTTGATGTATTGTAGGTCGACAGCAATGAGAATGCATACAAAATAAAGCTAAAGCAACACCCACTCCTGCGCACTATTTTTGGTTGTCTCATTTTTCCTTGCTGTGCTTTGGCGTACATATGCTTGTATGTTTGTATGTGTGTTAGTGTAAGTGTATGTATGTGTGTGTACGATTTCAGGTTTAATAGCAATGTGCAATGCATTTTGTTGGTCCTTTTTCCGATTTTTGTTGCTTAGTTTTGTGATTTTGTTATACTTGTTGTTGCTTAACTTCGTACGCGTTGTTGTAGTTATGAGAGCAGATAATGCGCGCGCATTACATGCGATTAGGTGCTGCACGAAGGATTTAGCCAACCAAATACAAAAGCTGCACAACACATAACAAAATGCATTGGTATGCGAGTGGATATATAGAAGGCGTATAACTTGACAAAAAATATATATATTTATGTAATGCATGAATTATTTACATGTACATGGACACATATGGAATATTCGCAATTTGCTATAATATTTTAATAAATGGCAAATGCTGAAGTGATTACATTTTTAAATTATATAATAGAGATCAGAGACTATGTTTTATTTAAATTTTTGTCCCTTATATAGATAAGACGCTTATATAGATTCCTATGTTTATCCTGCATTTAATATTTGAATAATATTAAATATCTCAAAATTACTGTTTATAATAAATTAATAATCAGTAAAAAAAATTTTTATGAATTTATAGCAAATAAAAACATTTCTGACATATTATATAGCTTAGATCAAATTATCATTATTATTTATGTATAGCCCGAACAGGGTATATTAAGTTTACGATGGAGTTTGTATCAACCAGAAGGAAACTTCGGAGACCCTATAAAGTACCATATATTATATTTATAAATGATCAGCGCAAGAAGATGCTCATTTGTCGGAACCGCCAGTATCGAACCACTATACGATACGAGTATATGTAGATCGATCACAATCAAGTTTTTGTATGCAGCACTTTTTCATTTGACAAGATATCTTCAATGTTAGGTATTCTATAAAAAATTGCTTTGAGTGGCGTTTACTTACAAACTTGCGTATGACTTTAAATTAGAAATGTGTGTTCATATGTACCGTCGCATCACACGTCCTCAAAATCGTATGCCCAAAAATTCATCGAAAGTTCGAGAATTAGATTTTTTGGCAATGTTGCATTTTTGCGATCTTGCAGATATTAATAGATGCAACACATGCATTTTTTAATTATGATGGTAATTAGAGACTTTTTCGTATTAGTAATATAGTTTTATATATTTTTATTTAATATTTCAGGTAATTTGCATAAGCACTACAAGTACGCACAATAGAAATATCTCTGGAGAATGCCCAAAAATATTTGGAGCGATAGAGAGAACACTAGTAATAGATTGGCTCACCAGTGATTATTGTCCTGATAGGGAAATGATTATTTATAATATATTTTGAAATAAAAATACATATGTCCTTATTTGACATTTTAGAAAAATTACAGCTATATGTATATTATAATCAGGGCTGTAAATAATATATTAAAAATAATTGAATTAACATTTGAATAAAACTTATTTTATTCACGAAAATCTTGATTAAAAATTAATTTTTAATGTTTAATTCCAAATACCGGGTTAAAAAATTTAAAATGAAATATTTTATTCTATATCATATTGACAAAAAAATTTTAATCCCAAGTTAATATTTAAAAATTAAAAAAAAAAAAAAAATTTTTAATTTTTATATTTTTGTGTGTGTCCTTCACTTTCTACTATTTTGGTTATCTCTTGAAAAGAAAAGCTTATTTTTAATAAAATATCAAATAGATTAGCACTCGTTGTCTCATTTACATTTTCTTTTTTTTTTAAATTTTCAGATAAAAATATAAATATATTCCCTTTCATTTTAGCTTTTAATTTGAAGATTAATTTGTTTTTGTTATTCCAATTTTAAAATTAGTAAATAGTTTCTTAATTTTTTATTTCGATTTTGGGACTAACAGTCAGTTTTTGAATTTACCTAAAATCGGAATTAATCAAATTAATAATACAATATTTTTGAATAACGAAATTGAGGTTAGGTTAAGTAATAAAATGAAGGAATTTTATTATATGCTGTTCAAAGTTGTATATTTTCATTTGTAAAAATTGTTATATGCCTCGTGCACACATTGCAAAAATTATTTGCATCATGGGCTTATACTTCACTAGATTATTCTTCATTGAAAT